AACAAAATGTTTTCAAATGTAACTTTATGAGAGAATTCCTTTCTTGGCTAGAAAATGAGTTAAGAATATATATGGTCTGAATTTCTATATTAAAAGAAAAAGAATTTTAAAAACATTATATAAACGTATTTTTATAATTAGTATTCATATTTTGTTAATATCTATAGGTTTCAGGATATCTTCAATTATGAAAATATATGATTTAGTGTTTTCTTAAAAACGATTTCAACTAAACATTTAAAATTTTTCAGAACCTAATGTTTTAAGAGTTACTATTTTGTTCACCAGAACAAATTTTTCTTTTTTGCTAACATGGCCCAAACAGCCACCAGCACATGACCTCCTTGCATGCAGCGTTCATGGTTTTGCCAAGGTGCTGCCCACAGGGGTGTCGGTGGGCAGTGGAACAGCCTTCCCAGTTCTTAATCAAGGAGGAGCTTCCTTCCTGGGCCATCACGGCGGCCACACCCATCCCACACAGACATGCCAATCATGGCTGAGCCATGTAAACTTGGGGAAAACGGGCTCCTCCGTGGATCCAAGCTGAGGTGTGCCATGGCCCGAGGGCTGCCCTCTGACAGTATCAGCTCCAGGTCTGCCCAAAACCCGCATCTCAAGCTACTTCCACAGCGCTTCTCTGCAGAGCAGCCCTTGAGCTCCTCGGCCAGCGTGTAATTGAAGAACCATCACCTCGTGCCCAGGCGCAAGCTTTACAGGGCAGGACGCCACTCCCGTGCTTTAAGCGTCCTTGGGGTTAAAGCGGAGAACAGGAGGAGAGAACAAGCCGATGCGTCTGCCCCACGTGCCCCAGGAAGGCGCTGGAGGGCGAAGCAGGAGTCCTCCCACTCCCTTCCACAACTGGGCTCCCCCCCAACCGCTGCAGGAGGACCAGTTTGAACTTACCCACCACGCATGCATGCGAGCGCGCGTGCGTGCGTGCGTACATTTGGGATGGAGCTGTTACCAAGACAGGTTTACGTCAGCAATCAATCAATCAACAGGTGTTAGAGTTCCCCGTCCAAAACGTGCCAGGTAACAAAAGGTGGCATTAGAAACTGACAGGAATGGCCCAGCTAAAAAAACCGAAGTTACACAATGGCACAGAGAGGATTACCATGTCTCACAGCATTATGTGCATGGACACCGGGTGTAGAAAAGTGTTCCCAAAATAATAAGTACTTAAACATACATTGACATGTACCCATAGTGACCACTGTATTCTTTTCTCAGTTGAGCACGTATTACTTGTATAATAAATCAGAACTCTTCCATCTGAAAAGGCAACAAGCATGAAACAAGCAGACAGAAACATAGATAAATTACAGAAAAAAAGGACACTTGAGCTGTGGCGGCAGGCCGGGTCTGACAGAGGATAGGCAGGAAGCAGTCAGGAAGGGGTGTGGGCGCCTGTGTGGTAGGGGAAGGTGGCCTGAGCCCCTCAGCTGTCTGGCTGGAAGAGAAGAAAAAGAAGACCCAAGGAGGAACTGTGAGAACAAAGTTGAGAAGATGGGCCAGGCCGGGAACTCGTCCAGGACAAGGTGCAGGGGGCAGGGCCTTCAGGGAGGGGCAAGGCACCCTGAACACACTGCTCCCAGCAGTGCGAGGCCACAGCAGCGAAGAGAGGAAGAGGAAGACCAATCAGGACATGTGAAATCGAAAACACTGACAACACCAAACATAGGTGAGATGTGGAGTGGCTGGATGCGAAATGGTGCAGCCACACACATTTTCCATGTGACCTAGTTTTCTACTCCTTAAGTGACTGCCCAAAGCATGAAAACAAATGTGCTAGCAAAGGCTCCTACAGCATTACAGCCCTGAGCAAGCAATCGGAAGCAACCCAGATGGCTGCCACAACTAAAACTGCACACAGAATCTACTATCTAAAACCCTGCATCGGGGCTCTTGTCTTCAGGGACTATAGATGCAAAGGCTGTAGGTTCAGTTCATTTTTCTGGGGGAAATAGAACTTTTTGAGTCTCGAAGGGTGTGACTGTCAACTTGATTTGTCAGACCTATCAGCCCCACCATATCACACAGGTCGATTCCTTGAAACAAACCTCCTTCATATGCATGGCATGCTTTCCACCAGCTCTGCCTCTCTGGAAAGCCCTGGAAGACAACGGGGGCCCAGAAATGCAGCAACAAGGAAAAAGTGACGTTAAGCGGTCAGGAGCAGGGTGGTGCCAGGAGGCCAAGACTGGGAGCAGAGTTAGGACGAGAACCCCATTGGGGCGACAGGGGCAGAGTCCACAGCAGGACCCAGGTGTGAGGCAGTGAGTCGATGCCAGAACCCCAGCAGACGAGGCAGGAACTGGATGCTGCATCTGGCCTTGGCTCAGGATGTCACAGCTTCTCATCTGAGGGCAGCAAGGGTCCAACGAAGCAGCGATACTCAGGTGGTGCTGCTCCAGATACTCAGGTCTGCTCCCGGATTCCTGACAGGTGGGCCTGAGAGTGACAGTAAATTGGCCCCGCAGGTACAGGGTGCAGGGCAGAAAGCAAAGCCAGTCCCTGGTCCTTCAATGCCCCCAGCCTCTATGCTGGCCTGGGCCTCAGTCTCTTCCTCATGACCATCCCACCCTTACTTACTACCTGAACCTCCGCAGTGAGAACCAGCTCCTGTTCCTTTCGTCGCGCCAGAGGCTGACTCTCCAGGACATGCTGCTGACCACGCCCTTGGGCTCCCAAACAGCTTGTGCAAAAGGGTCTGGGCCTTNGTCTAACTTTTTCACGCAGCCTTTTCAGCACTTCCAAATAGTCAACTTGGTTAACTGTTTGTCCAATTGCTACAAACTCATAATGAATAATCCCTCTGATATTAAAAGAAGTTAGCGACAGCACTGCAACAAGTTCGTGAACTTAATTGTCCCACCGCCTACTCACACGTGCCCATACATGTGCTCTCATATGCTCACACACACGCGGACATGCTCACACACTCTCTCTGTGTGAAATCCACAGCCATGAGATTTCATGTCAACAGCACAGGGTGAGCTCAGTGAATATGCATGAAGTTCACATTCAAAATCTCCAAGTAGAGATTTTATTTACCACACAGGAATATAATGAACTGTGAGATACTGCTGTTGAGGGAAAACTACCTTAGTGGAAGAAATAAAAATTACCTTGCCTCCAAAGATAAGTATTTCATTACCTGTAGAATAAGTTCTTGAAGTTGAGACTGTTTCTGTTTTATTCTTTCAAGTCTTCTTTGTCTCTCTACCTTCAAGAATAAACCAGAATTCAAGAAATCATCACAATTTGTTGAACATATTTTAAAACCCCTATCAACACAATATCACCTAAGGAGGTTCTTGACAAAAATGTCTGTCCTGAACCTCATGGTGGGAAAACACCAATCTAGAACATGGCACATGCTACAAGACACAGACGAGTGTTCTTCAATCTCAAAACTACATCTTCTGTCTTCTCTCGTTTTCTGGATATGGCTATATTTTGTAAAAGTCCCACAGGTTAGGATTTGGAATTTCTGTACACTAACTGTTCGGCTTCAACTGAGCTGACCCCCTCCCCACCCGCAGTGAGTATCTGCACAGCCCAGGCCGGCAGGATGGACAGTGCACCAACGTCAGATGGGAAGCGACAGGCCCGATCAGAGACTTCGGGACACAGGGACACACTTGTCTACCTGGTCCAGGCCAGGCACAGACAGCACAAGACCCTTATAACAGGAGCCAGTGCTGCAGACAACAAAAACACCTACTTTAAAAAGACTGCTCCGGGGTGAATCTACGTGGACCTAACGGAACATAAAAGCTTAGCGGTGTACCTCTAAATTCTGACATTCCTGAGCCGAGTTGGTGGGCAGACCGATCCACTTGATCTCCTTCTTCTCCTTAGAGATGATGTTCATGGCCATCAGCACATTTAAGGCATCATAGACTCGCCGTCTTATGTTCTTCTGGTCATAAGCCTGAGGAAGCCGGAGCGGGAGTTTTCAAAAGATCCTTGACGAATTGGAGATCAATGTCTAAACATTGCACCCTGAACATACTCAAGGAAGTGCCCCGTCCGCTCACTTCATGTGGTCTAAAGCCATCCCAGCAGCTGCTAGCATCACTCCTAACACATCCTCATAGAACCGGCCTGTGCTAGTGATGCAGGACAGGCCTGGCAAGAGGGCATTTCTGTAGGGGGAGGTTGCCCAACAGGCAGAGCCAGAGCGCAGGCACAAACATTTGGGGATGATGGCGAATCGTACCCACAAATGGGTTGGGAAAAAATTCCTTTGTACTCTCCTTAGAACTTCTGTTTGAAGTTGTTTCACATAAAAACAGAGCGGACTGTGCAATGCCAGTGCATCATGCGGTACATACTTACGGATTCGTTTGGTAAGATGTGATTATCGGCAGCACTGAACTCTGCAACAAGCTCGTCAGCCACCTCATTATAGGATGTGGTTCCCTTCCTCTGCACTTTCTCACAGACCTTCATGGAGAAGTGCCTCAGGCCCTTACCGTTCTTCTCTCCTTTCCTGTTGCGTTTCCTTCAAAAATACAAAGGGAGAGTAATGCCCTTAGCATTCTTAGAGCCTGCCTTGAATTCAGACACACATTAACCTAAAAGGGCCATCAAGCTACACAAGGGCCTTGGGTCCCGCTGGTACTGGGGCTCACGCGAGCGGACCACAGGGGAAACTGGCTCCCTCTCTGCAGAGCACTCAGTACAGCAACGGGTGTCCAATGTCTTTCTTTCTTTAAAGGCCAGACCTCAGATCTGTGCCTTTAACTCTCAGGAAAAACTGGGCTGACATCCAAAAGGATGGGACCCAGTACGTTATCTGATGAGTATCAATACACTCAACGCTGCTTCTTAAAAAGATGTCAACCAGCATCAGGAACTATGGAAGTTTTACTGCAAATTTAGGACTTTTTAGGGCAAATGTGAGCAGGCTAACAGAACAGGTCTTCAAGGTAACTTTCTTGCTATTAATGTAAAGTCAGGAAGATTCCCTCCTTCCCTATCCAGCCTTCTCCAAGCTGCCCGGCGCTGAGACCCAGNGAGACTAAATCGAGGGGCTGCAGAGCAGTCAGATCACGCCCAGGAGGGACACGAAGTATTTTAAACGGCGCAGTAGAATCAAGAAACTATTATTTTCCAATCTCTCCAATCCAACTCCTTGGCTTATAATTAAACTCAGTAGGATTTAAGCACATATTGGTTTGTAAGAAAGGAAAAGGAGACAGCCAGTGTGTGGTCATAAAAGTAAGCTTAATTGGGAGTATCCAAACAATAGAGGAAGTAAAAATAAACACCAGAATGAAAGACTTCCATCATTTCTAAGGGATCCAAGTTTGTGGATTTCTTCATTATTATTTCTGCTTTATCACTTTATAATAGAAAATGTCATGCCTCAAATTTCTGAAAATTTTAAATGTCCAATTACACTGAAATTTTTCACTCAAGAAATCTGTGACTGGCAAAAAATAGTATTCACAAAATTTTTTAACTTGATAATTAAAAGTATGCATCAGTGGGCTCCCCATCCTTGAATAAGAGGGAAAAGAGGGAGGTATGGCAAAAGAGCAGGGCCCCACCGATGACATTCCAGAGCCAGAGAAACCTGAAGAGCCGGCATGGGCCCGAGACCCGGAGCCCTGGTCCCGAGGGGAGAGAGGCTGGTGTAGAGAGGAGACGAGATCAGCCAAAACCTGGACAGAATCCAGGCAGAGGGTAAGGGTGGCCGGCACGTGGCCATGTGCGTGAGGCTCTGCAGCAGGAGAGCCCCAAAGGCATCTGAAGGTTAAGTCCCAATGCAACAGAGTGGACGGGGTATGAGCCCATCAGCCATGACATCCTGGACGTGCTCAGTCACACGGAGATCTGGCTCCATGGGGGAGGAGTGTGGCTGGGTTCCTGTCCAGCATTCACCAGCAATGGATGGATGTGAAGGGGCTGGGACATAGCAGGAAAATGAAGTGGGAGACCAGCACTAGTTTCAGATTCCCCCAAACTTACAGTAGGCATCAAGACATCACTTATTAGAGCTTCACTATTAGAGTAAAAAGCTAATTTTATGTATGACAATCGTGAGAAAACCCAGAAATAAGGCCTCTAGGCTCCCAGCCTGGCTGCCACAGATAAAGCAGACATGAAGGCTGGAGACATGCAAAGCAACCTCATCCAGCCCTGCAAGCAAAATCTCCCTACGATGAAGCAGGCTCTCCCACAGGTCTTCTCTCAGCAGCATTATCACAAGCTGCACGAAAACAGGCCTGCATAAACTTGATATCAAAGCCCCACACCAACGCAGCTTTATAATCAGCCAAGCGTCACACATCAACATTTGAAAGGTGCATATCTTTTTAATGCAGCAATTCCACATCTACAACTTTATCTGAGGAAGTAACCAGCATGCTCAAATACATGTTCTCAGAGGTTTACCATATGTCACTTTTAGGAGGGAAACTGTGGGACCTCCTAGCAAGAAGTGGCTTTCATCAATCCTCCCCAAATTCCAATGATGCAGAGAAACATCGATCCCCAAAGAATCGTTAAAGACACACACACAGCTTACTGACGTGGAGACGCGTTCGCACGTGTGGTGTGCACTGCACCATGAGCCCTCAGATTGGAGTGTGTTTCTATTTGCTTTGGTGTGCCTGGCCACAGAGCGAACACCTGGGGAGCACACACCACCGCCCCGGCCCCGAGGTGGAAGAAATATAACTGACCTGTGTTTTCTTCTTTACACTTTTCTACATTTCCTGAATTTTTGCAAATAGTATGCGACTTACAAACCAAAATAAACTCAGCCACTGAAGAATATGTGCAGGTGGTCTGTCTGACTCAGTTCTGAGTGTTCAACTCCACCGTAGTCCATCTCGGGGGCTCCCGGGCAGGAGAGCTCCCGAAGTGGGGTTTCCACTGTTGACAATGGGCTTTCATATCAGAGCAATTCATACATACACCAAACTTAACATATAGATCAACAAACTCGTATTTCCAAAGTAGGCGCCCTTACCTTTTCCAGGACTAAGGTTCTGGTCTATGAAGACCTTTAGTTCCCCATTGGCTTCAATTAGACCAGCCTGCAGAAAGCAACAACAGTCACAATAAATACGACAGCTAACAGAGCGACAAAGCTGACGCTGTCAACACACCATCCTTGTCAGAGAGTGGTATAAAATAACACATTAAAAAGACGAACCAATCACCATTATGCAAATAACTACAGAACGCCATGGAGGGAAATGCCTAGGTCCTCCGTGCAGGGAGCCACGTTGGGCCACCTTAGCCCATGAGTTAGTTATTTGGCTGCGATCATCAGCATAAAAAAGGTCATTTGAACATTTCAGGTTTTAAAGCTTAGTCCTTGATGAAGTACTGCTTTTATTTATTAAATCAGCACATGTATTTTAAATGGTAATGTCTGGGGTTGGCAGAGGCAAGTGGACGTGAAAATTCATTCCACTATCTTGAAAACAAACTGGTGATTTGGCCTGAGAACAGAGCAAGGACCTTCGGGTTGGTCCGAGCCCCAGAACAAGAAAAAAAAAAGAAGTGCTTCTTTTCATTAACTGGGTTAGTCACTGAAAGTATTTCTGAAGCAAACCTTAACAGCTGCATGCAGCTTTGGTTCAAATTTCTTGCTGTAAAATGACTGATTGCAAACTGCCAAAGACAAATGGTCATGACCAAAATAATTTATCTAGGTTTCTTGATCTTAGATAAACAGCGTTTTACAAGTCCTTCCTGTAAGAAGCAAGGACCTTGGGAATAAGTGAGCGGTAGTAGCATGTGGTCAGCCAGGTGGAAGGGCGCCATGGCAAAGCAGAATCATTTCTGACAACTGAGCAGTAAAGATCTTATAGTGAAAAATACCACAGCANAAAATCTTCACATAATTTTCCCCCCACCTATTTATACTGGCAATAAAAACAGAACTGTTGCTATCATTAAGCTAAATTCTGCTATAATACACAGTACCTATAAAATAATGTGAATTAGAAATGAAAACATAAAATGGAATATTTAGCTTATATCAAAAAGACATTTATTGAAAAGCTATGATGTGCCAAATAGAGTCGACATACTATTTGAAAAATCAGTTATTCTACTAAGCAAATGTGGTCACGTTTTACTGAAAGGGGCTATGTGACGGGGAGCAATTGTACACCGGCCAGGGGGTGGTCACCTGGGATGTGAATAAGCTCAGGTGGGCAGTAATGCCCTTCTCTTCTCATGACCGCACTTGGCCTAGTAGCAATGACTTCAGCCTCACCAGAGTCACATCGGGAAGAGGTCTAGTAAACTGCACAGGTGGGAGCTGTTCAGTTGGCAGGGGGCAACACAGGATGGGGGAACCCACATGGCCCTCTCCTGGAGGACTGGCAGGGACAGGGATACGCCTGTCACCCAGCATACCCTGGAAGCCTGCAGAGTCCTAACCTAATGTGACCTGCCCATGGATACCGCCCTCCTTCCGCGGCAGGTAATGTCCACCCTATGAAGTGCGAAGGCCAAGGTGCAGCCACCCCCCACACAACTCCATGCCACTCTACCTGAGCTTTCCACGTCACACCTAAGAACCCCGTCAGGGCAGATTCAGGACCACGTGGAGCACACAATGACAGAGGAAGCTACCTGGCCTGGGTCGAGTCCCACCGCCCACCTGTACAGATGGGCCAGCCCAGCCACGGGAAGGATACACAAGCACTGGAAGGCCACCTGCACTCTAACCACATGTTCCCGCAGTGTCTGAGGAAGGTGAACGCCCAGCACTGAAAGCGTTCAACAGGAATCTGCAGAGGGCAAACCTCACACTCCAGCCTCTGAGCTGGAACCTAAGGGCCGCTCTCCCAAATCTGCAAGCCCACCCTGCCCGGAGCCCCTTACCACTTGCTGTGCAATGTTGACATTGGACTGTCCGAACGTTTTTGGCAAGAGCTGCTTCCCAAGCGTGTTTACTGCGGAGGGGTGAACAGCTACTAAGGACACAACACCTGTAACACAAGGACACAAGGTGAGCTCTTTCCTGAAAGTGACAACTTCAGGACAATGATGCTTCTAATTAGAAAGTCTTACTTTTCCCACTTTCGATCTATGGGTCAGTTATAAACACCTCTACTAAGTGTAATTCTCAGTTTAAGGGGGGCTGCATGGACAGGACTGCTTGCTCTCCCATACAATTAGCCCTTCTTTGGGGTGGAGGGCTCAGGTGGCCCCAGGCATACCACCAGCATGCCCCCAGATGCCTGTGTACCCATCGACAGAATGTTCTGGTGGGACTACAGGCTCTGGAGAAAACAGGCTCTACAAGGTTATAACTGTATGACAACTATAGACTAGAATGCTCTCAGGTGCAGGTGAGAACTACTTTGATTTCAGGGCTATCAACACATGAAGAAAGGGGAAACCCCTGTTCTGGTCATGCCTCCAAACCCCTCTGGCTTCCCTAACTACCGGCGAACTGCAAGGCAGGGGGTCTGTCCTCCTTGAGAGGTAGTGGTTCTGCGGCCAGGGGCCTCACACAGGGGGGCCATTTTCCTTCATTGCCACCCAGTTCAGCATCTCAATGACCGCCAACTAACCAGGCATCGTCTTCAATGGAGCCTGGTCTAAAGTTTCGTTTCTGAACCCTTTACAACACATGCATTTTAAAGAACAGACTTATTCAAAATTCAGTAAGCAATGAATTTGCTGCAACATCTGAACTAATGATTTTTCTAGAATAACCTAAATTAACCAAGACAGATATTCATCCTTCCATTCAACTGGCTAAATATTAATATTTAACCAACACCAACAGATATTTAAATTATTTTCTGTAAATAAGTTGATCTGCTTTGAGCTTTTTTCCTCTAAAAATAGAGCTCTGTCTCTTAACAAAAGCAAATATCTTTAAAATTGTTTTAGATACGTGAAAGATATTTCAAAATACAAATAAAGTTATTCTACTTTGCATTGAGATTTAAAATACACAGTTAGACAATATGTTACTTTTCAGATTCACATACAGATTAGTAACTAATAAATTTCCAGGAATATTGAATTGATTCATAAAAAAGACAACATTGTGGGTTGGTATTTTTTTTTTTGTAAATTTGCAAGTGATTCCTTAATTTTCAATGAATTTGATGAAAGAAAACAGACCTTCTTCAAGTTCAGAGCACGTAAAGCCATTGTCAACATCAGCAGTTTAGCCATGTCTTACGACATTGTATTTTAAAGCTTATTTTGTACGTCAAGTTTGTGGAAGTCAGCACGTCAGTAGACTGGACCAGGCGGTCATCTTCTATGACTAGACTTGCAGGTCCAGCCACAACATATGCCCATTACACAGGATAGCACAAGCCCCCTAGAACCACGGACATGTGTCTTCCTATAAAATAACACGTTCAGGGCCCCAATCTGGGACTCCCATTTTCTGCCCCAGCTGGGGGAGCGAGGCGGGCTCTGAGGGGCTCGGGGGCAATGGCAGAGCTTTGAGGCAGAAGTGGATTGGGGCCAGGGCCCCCTTTCTTCCATCTGCTTACCGACACCATCTGTCGTTCTCACCACAGTTTCTCGTTTGTGTTTTTATCGAGTGAGAAACTCTTCAAATACAAAGAATTACTCTGCAAACAGTGTTACTCCAGCACACTTAGAATTAACTAGTATTTCATTGTATTTGCTGAAGAGACCTGAACAGTAGAGTTAACCTTACGGCCCTCAAACCTGCCCTACCCTTTCCTCCACTGGGCCTCGCCTGCAACTACTACTGCTTGATGGATGCACTCAGTCCATTTTTCATACTTCTCCACCGCACATCTATGAGCCCAAGAACAATGTAAGTTTTGTCTGGTGGGTTTTTAAAATTTAGAAAATGGCATATATTGAACGAATTCTGCAACACTGTTTCCATTGGTTTTGAGACTTTTTCATAGAGATCTAGTTGATTTCCTTTAATGCTGTGCTCCTATTCTATTCTAATACAAATACGTAGATGTGATATGAAAACGCTCTCACTGTGTTACTGGAACGCTGCAGTTGACATGAAGGGCTGACTGAGTACAGGTTTCTCCCAGGATGTTTCTCTCATGCAGACATGCCAAAGGGCACCTGGATCCCACTGACCTTCTGTATTACAGGATTCACCACAGTATCTCCTCATGGCCATTCTTTGTGCACACATGCACACAC